GATTTTTTCACTATCTGCAGTTTCCATTTTACTTACTCATTCTTTTTTCTAGTAGGAGTTAATATCCTAAAAAAGAAAAATACAATATAGTAACATTAGTTTTCTATAGAAACTACAGTACTAATGATGTTAATAGAATTAACAGAAACACCTTATCCAAAAAGTAACCTCAACAGAAGTGACATTCTGCAACATCCAATCTGGGAACTGCCAACTGACACCCCAGGAAGCATCACCACTTTGTAAACCTCAGAACCAGCAAAAACCAACCTGACAGAAAGTCAAAGCTCTTGGTCTTGCTCTGAGTGATAAGCATCATATTGCTGCTGATGATAGAGATGATCACAATAATTATGATAATAATAATCAGGGATAATGTAAAAAATTATATATAGTACTTATTGCATGTAAGACAAAAAAATTAAACTCTCTAATTGTCTGCTCTAAGTTGCTAGCCACTAAGGGGGACCTTGTTGTGTCACTGTTCCTTTAATCTGGATTGGTTCTTTATTTGACAGTTATTCACTAAGGAAGTTCACAAGCTGTCTTGCCATAATATGTGTGAAGGGGATTTGTTGGCCTTTACTGTGGTGACTGCTACTGGGTTGTTCCTTTATCTTTCACTTCTGCAAATGAATTTACATGGCAGTGAGTGTTATATTATTTTCATGATGAGGCAGTACTGTTTCTTTCTATATTTTTGTGATCCTATTCAGGACAATTACAATATACTCTATATTTTCATATACATAAAATATTTATATACATAAAACCATCAATTTTTGGTATCAATGGACTCTTTATCAGTGTCTACTAACTGAACATAGCAGTGTTTGTTGGTGTAAACAAATAAATAAGCTCAATATGAATGGTTAAATCTCCCATGAATACTTTTGGAGCAACCTCCTTATCTGAGTCTTGATGTCATTCATGCTGGTGTCAGTCAGGTGAATCCAGCTGGTCAGATGTGGTGGGTTTTGGCAATTGTTCAGAATACCCATGGCATGCTCACTCATGATAATACTGGTGCTGATGGATTCCTCTCAACCTTTACTACTTATATATATGGGGCTTGTGCCATGGAAACCTCCCCTTACTCCATATATAATATATATATATATATATATATATATATATATATATATATATATATATATATATATATATATATATATATATATATATATAAAACTATATATATATATATAAAACTATATATAACTATATATAACTATATATAACTACATATATAACTACATATATAACTATACGTATAACTATATATATAACTACATATATAACTACATATATAACTACATATATATATATATATATATATATATATATATATATATATATATATATATATATATATATATATATATATATATATATATGAGATAAAGGTCACTGACCTCATAAATACTGTTGATTTACTATTTTCCCCTCAATATCCCTGGGGTACCTTACACCTTCCCCATCTGATACGTTTCGTATTGTCTGCATTGTTACTGGGCACCGATTAAACCACAATAAACGCACACTGAACAGTAAACATTCAGAAGACCTTTGCATTACAGATCATGATAATATCTGTATCAATGGATTCCTCTCACTTTCTAGTACTCATATGTATAGAAAGTATGCTGCAGAACCCTCCTCCCCCATAAACACAATATTAGCCCTAACAGCAGGGGAAGGTATGAAAAGTACCAGGGATATTGAGGGTTAAAAAAGGAATAATAGAGAATATATCATTATATCCTTAAATGAAGGGGGCATAGAACACATCAGCTCCACACACCCCCATTGGGATCCTGACACCCTACAACCCCTGCCCTGGATGATAAAACAATCTACCATGTATGTATGGCAGAATAGAGCCTAGGGCAGACTTCACATCGGGAGCTCCAGGGCACTATAACTGTAATGTGAGCACACATCATAGGCCGATATATACATATTGCAGGAGGCTGCCACCCTCCAACTCCTGCCCAAGACTAAGAAGAATACCTCACATATGTACTGCAGGATAGAGCAAAAGCAAATCACATGATTATATGAATGTACCACGAATAGCAGCTTATCAACCTGTGATACAGCTAGCATCACATACTGACTAGAATATAGGGTATTCCATACCATCATCATCTGCCAATCAGTTTAATAAATTATTGTTCTTGGGCTGTATCTTCCCAAGTTCACCCAGCATATGAGTTGTACACTATATCCTGCTTTGAATGAGAAGGATTTTTTGTCTTCCAAGGTGGGGATGGGGATGGGTGTCCTCAAAAGGGGGTTACAGGGGACAAGGCCACTGCATTAGACAATATTGTGACATACTCTGTGTATGTCATTATAATCATAGTGATATATTTAGTATATATTATTATTACTCTAATGTTAATAACTTCTCTGGTCCTTTTCATGCCCTCCTCTGCTGTCAGTGCCAAAAATGTGTTAAATGTGTGAGTAGTAGAAAGTGAGAGAAATCCATCTATACCGTTTTCATCCTGCTTGGTCATGCAAAGCTATTCTGAATAATTACCGGGAAGTTTTCCAGGTGTTTTAAATATCTACCCATTAAACATTAAAAGCAATCTATTGATACCAAATCAACTGTAGGACAATATGTAGTATAAGGTAGTGGCAGAGTTGGGTAATAAAACCTACATGAAATGATAGAATACAAACCAAGACAAAGTTCTTCTATAGCAATATGTGTGCAAATACTTCCCAAGGGTGCTAGGTATATATATTAGCCCGGGGGTCCAGCTAGGGAATATATACCACGGTGTATAGGTTGGATGTTGGGTTAGGTCGCCCATTTGCACAAGGAAAAATGCCTAGAATCGTTGAAAGCAGTGGATTTCATACAGAAAAATATCAAAATTGTTTCGAAAGTAACCCATCTTCCCCTTTTTTTTACGCATTGCACCCTTGGGAAGCATTTGCACACATATTGCCGTAGAAGAACTTTCTCTTGGTTTGTATTGTTCTGTCATTTCATGTAGGTTTTATTACCTAACTCTGCCACTACCTTATACTACATATTGATCGAAATAAACCCGAAAACACTACCTTAAGTCTTTATATTTCAAAATTTAAATCTTTATATTACATTATATTTTGTAAACAAAATGAATCTCTAAAATCCAAATTAACTCTATAAACAAACATCTCTTATATACACATACACCACAAACCATCAACATATCTTCCTTCTTACCATATTAGGTTTTATGTGTTAAAAGTCATGTGATTCTTCTTCTTTTTCTTTATTTTTTGGGTTTTTCTTCTTCTTCTTTCTTGTTATAGGGTTTTAGACGACTGTTGTCTATATCCCCTGGATCTTCTTTTTTTTTTTTGCTTCTTGTTTCTTAAATTATATCAAATAATTTGGTTGTTTGTAGGAAAATCTTTGTGTGTCTTAATATGTAGTACTTTATTGTAGATGGTTGATCTGCACCTGTAATCAGAAGATTAATGTCAATATCATTAATTTTTACTCGTCTTAATGCATCTTTTAATTTTGTTCTGTGAGAGTTGAATCTTGGGCAGTATAAAAACATGTGTTCTATGGTCTCTTCTTGGTTCTTGCACCATCTGCAGAAGGGGTCATTTTCCATTTTCATTCTGTAAAGATGTTGTTTTAGTCTTGTGTGTTTGGTTGTGAGTCTTGAGATGCATGTGTCTAGTTTTCTATATTTTGCTCTAGTCCATGGCTTTTCAGTGTTATCTTTGATGAGGTAATTTTTTGTACTTAGGATTCTTTTTAAGTTTGATTCCCATTGTTTGTTATTCTTTATCTTAATTTCTTTTATGATATAATTTGGATCTGGTGGTATAGACATGTGATTATTTATTTCATGGGCCTTCTTTGCCGCTAGGTCAACAATTTCATTTCCCTTAATGTTTTTGTGTGATGGAATCCACTGTATCTTAATCTCTTGTTTTCTTGTTGAGAGAAAGTGTATCTGTTTTTGTATTTCGTATGTGATTTGTTTATAATTTAGTGGTTTAGAGTTTTTTATTAATTGTAAGGATGATTGAGAGTCTGTTAGTATTATAGTTTTTGTCAGTTTATTATTTATTACATACTTTAGTCCTTGTTTTATGGCAAATAATTCTGCGTGTGTGATTTCTATTTTAGGAGGCAATTTCCAAATAGTTGTTATATTTTTGTTTTGGATGTAGATTGCTGCTGAAGTTGAATCTGGTTCTTTTATTTTTGATCCATCAGTGAAAATTCTGTTAAAGTCTTTATAATTCGTATTTATTAACTCCTGGAATTGTTTTTGGATGATTATTTGAGGAGTATTTTTTGTTATATTATTCATAAAGTCTATTTGTACATTTTCTGAAATATCATACCAAGGTGGTATTGGGGATATGTTTGGGATTTCATTTGGATTTATGTTTATATTTAGGTTTATTTTTGTTTCCGTAGCTCTGTATACTAGAGATCTTTTATCTCTTTGAGGATTATATTCATTTATGCAGTTTGTTATTTGTTGTTTTACTGGTGTCTTATTTGGTTTATTTAGAATTTTTGTTAGTTGAATGCATTCAAGTTCTTTTATTCTTTGTGATAAAGATGGGATGTTTGTTAATGCTTGAAGAGCTATTATTGGAGATGTTCTAAAACATCCTGTTGCCAGTCTTAAAATTTGGTTTTGTAGTGTTTCAAGTTTTTTTAAATCGGATTCCTTTGCTGCTCCATAAATTGTTGATCCATATTCAATTTTTGGTTTTATGTATATTTTATAGAACTTTAATAGAGTTTCTCTATTTGCTCCCCAATTTAGTGAAGTTAGTTTTTTCATTATGTTTATTCTATTTAAGATATCTACTTTTAGGTTTTCTAAATGTTTTTTCCATTTTAGTTTGGGGGCGTCTAAAGTTAGGCCTAAAATTTTATGGCTTAGAGTGTATTTGATTTCTATGTTATCTATTCTTATTTTTGGTAGTTGGTTTATCTTTTTATTTGAAAAGCACATTAGTTTACTTTTTGTGAAGTTTATTTTCAGGTCCCAGTGATTGGCCCAATCTTTTAATTTTTGTAGTTCTCTTTCTATTTTGTTTGATGCTTCTATTAAGTTTTTATTACTTGTTAATAAGGTTATATCATCTGCATATATAATCTTTTCAATTTCTTTTGATAATTTTAGATCATTTAGCATTATATTGAATAAAGTTGGGCTTATTGGTGAGCCTTGAGGTACTCCACTTTTTATTGTTCCTTTTTCGGAGGTTTGATTTCCAATTTTTATTTGGAAAGTTCTTTTTTCTAGTAAGTTATACAGCCATTTTAGGGGTTTTCCCGTGATGCCTAATTTCGACATTTTTATTAGAAGTGCTTCGTGGTTGACTGTGTCGAAAGCTTTTTCTAAATCAATGCATGCTACAATTATATATTTTTTGTCTATGAATGCTTTGTTTATGTGGCTATCAATTGTATGTAGTGCATCAATGGTACTTTTATTAGGTCTGAATCCAGTTAGGTCTACATCTAGCTTATCATTGTGTTCTAGCCACCATATTAATCTTTTGGTTATTATATTTTCGAATATCTTTCCAATACATGAGATTCTGCTTATGAATCTGTAAGAGTTTGATTCTGAAGGGTTTTTACCCGGTTTTAATATGGGGTTTATTATGGCATTTTTTAGTGATTCTGGGTATTCTCCTTTAATCCAGTATGAATTGATATTGGTTAGGATTGCCTCTAGTATATTGTTTGGAGCATTCTTATAAAATTCATATGTCATTTCGTCTGGTCCGTATGCTTTATTGTTTTTGGCACTATTAATTGCTGCTCTTAATTCTATGAGGGTTATTTCTTTATTTATTTCATTAGTGTTCTTTAAGTTGAATAATCTTTCTTTTTCTAATTCTGACATAAGTTTTTTGGGATTTTTGCTTACTGTTTCCATATATTCTTTTTTGAATTTGTCTAATTTTTGTGCAATTTCTGTTAATGGCAGGTCATTTTCAATTAATGGATATTCCATTGTAGTTATTTTTCCTGTTTGTTTCTTTAGGAAATTCCAAATCATTTTAGGTGAGGTTTTAAAATCTAATGTTGCACAAAACTTTCCCCATGATTCCCTTTTTGTTTGTGTTATTTTAAGTCTAGCTTTTGCTAATAGTTTCTTATATTCTTTTTGGTTTATTAATGTTGGCTTTTTTCTCCATTTGTTATAGGCTTTGTTTTTTTCTTTTATAATATCATTGCATTCTTTATTCCACCATGGTTTATTTGGTTTATCTTTGTATTTCCGTGTTTCTAATTTAAAATATTTTAAGGCCGTGTTTTTTATAATCTCTGAAATTTCTTTGAGTGAGGTTAGATTTCCTGTTTCTATGCTGTTTAAATCTTGTTGAATGTCCCTCCACCCTTCTTTTGTATATTGCCACTTTTTTTCTTTTAGTAGGTTATTATCTATGTATGAATTATCATTTATTATTATTGGTAAGTGGTCACTGTCTAAATGAAAAGCTGTTTTTAGTTGGATATGACTTAGGGTTGGAGAACCAAATATTAGATCTAAGGTTGATTCTTTGGCTGTTTTAGGGTCTATTCTAGTTATTTGATTTTTTGGGGTTAGCATTATTAGATTGTTTTGACTGATCCATTTTATTATGTTTTTGCCTGTTGCATTAATTTGTCTATTACTTATGTTTTCATTCCAATAAGGATGATGGGCATTAAAGTCTCCCATTATTAATTTTGGATCTGTAATTTGCTCTGAGTAATATTGTAGTTCTTCTGTTTTTATATCATTACATGGGTTGTATATTATTAATATATTAAGCCATTTTCTTTTATAGTTTATTTTTATTCCTAAGGTTTCTAATTTTTCCCTATGTATATCTCTTAGATTTATTTCTTTAAACTGTACATCGTTTTTGATGCATATGGCTAAGCCTCCTCCTACTTGGTTTACTCGGTCTTTCCTGATTATTGTGTAATTATTTAGAGTAAATTTATCTTTTTCTTTTAACCATGTTTCTGTTATGGCTATTATATTTGGGTTTTCTTTAAAAATTAAATAATTTAGGTTAGTTTTCTTGTTTAACACAGATCTTGCATTCCACAATATTAAGTTTTTCATATTGCCTTTAGCATGTTGCTAATCTCCTTTATCACATCCATTATGTTTTGTATTATTGGTTTATCCGAGTTTAAATTGTTTATTATTTTTGTTATTATTTTAAATATATTTGAGGCTAGTTTTATCCAAGAGAAATCCTCTTCATTTTTTTCATTGTTATCATCATTGGTGGTATCTTTGTGGGTTAGTGGGGTTGGTAGTGACCAAGTAACTGGTGAATTTAGTGTGTCTTTTTGTTTGTTGTTTGTTTTAGATTTTTCTTTTTCATATTGTGTTTGTTCGTTTTCATCAAAACATGTAGTTTGTTGTGTGGTGTTTGGAGTTCTTATCTTCTTTCTGTTTGGAGTTAGGTTATTTGTTCTGTTTGGGGTTCTTTGACCTAAAGTGAGGCTTTGTGGTTCTGTTAATTTCTGTGCATATGTTTGTGTTCTGTTTTCTTCTGTAGGTTGAGGTGTTGTGGTTACTTGAACTTCTTGTGTGTTATTTGTTTGTGTAAACATATTTGGTTGTTGTGTTTCACTACTTATGTTTTTTGTTATTGGTTTTAGTTGTTGCAACTGTTTTTTTATCTCTAAGTTATTTGGTGTTATATTTTCTTTGTTTATTTCTTGAGCTAACTTATGGACTGTGCATTCATTTGTGTTTGGTGCATGATTATCATCACAGTAAAAACAATGAGAGTTATTAGGGCAATCTTTATAATTATGTCCATATTGGCTACAGTTATTGCATCTTTTTTTATTTTTGCAAGTTACTGTCCCATGTCCATACCTTAAACAATTGTAACATTTTAATATTGGGAAAGTGTACTGCCTCACTTGGTAGCTTGTATGGCCAATTGCTACTCTTTTGGGTAATGCTCCTTTAAAAGTTATTCTTAAGGATTTGGTGGGAACCCATTTTTCTTCACTTTTTTTGTCATTATTTTGTTTTTTTAATCTTATTATTTCAGTAATTTCATTAGACTCATATCCTAAGGTTCTTATCTTTTCTTTGATATTTTCCATGTTGAGGTCGGTTTCTACTGGGAAAATTGTTCCATAGGAACAGTTTGTATATTTGTTTGAAGTTGGTTGCTTACAAACTACTTCCCATTCTCCAAGTTTGTTTATTTGATTTAATGGCCTTATTTTTTTTATATCTTTGATTTCGAATCTGAGAGCTTTTCCTGCTCCTAGTACTCTTAGTGAGTCCTCAATTAAGTATTTCTGGAACTCTGATTTGTTGATTGCATTAGTTAATTTTAGTGGGTTGTTGAAGTTTGTATTTGCAGATCCATCTTTTAAATGAATGAGTACTACAAAGTTGTCTTTTCCTACCTCCATATTTGTTAAGTTGTTACTTGTTGTTGGTTGGGGTTCTGCCGGTGTTTTCCATCCGGCTTCTTTGTTCTTCGGTTGTTTTGAGAGTGGGTTTTCTTCGTTATCACTTTCTAGTTCTTCTCTTGTTCTTTTAGTTTGGTTATCATGATCCATATACTGGACTGATTCAGGATCTTCTCCTGGATCCAAATTGGGATCAGAGTCCATTAAAAAAGGGTTTGGATTTTCACTGCACTCGATAGTTGATGTTCACTCTACAGAGTTTCAAATCGTTCTCCTTTTTGGGTTTTTGAAAACGGAAGGGCGGGTTTGTTATTCGTAGCTAGTCGCTTAATTTACCGAAAGATAAACACGTGTGATTGTCATTGAAAACGTGTTTGAAAAAGATAGAGAAGAATAGGGGAGACTATAGCAACTTTAGCATATACTACTGTTTGGAAAGTTCTAGTTAAAGTAACGTGTCTTTTCACATGCTGATTAGTGATAATAGTTCAATGATTTTTTTGCCACCGTTATACTATCTTATATTTTTTATTACGATCGTTGTTGTTATTGTCGTTTTTATTATTACCATTCTTATACTTATCATTAATATATTATTGTAATTATCATAATCATTAGCATCATTACGATTATCATCATAGATATATATGGTATATCTATGCAAGTTGTGCATCCATACATACAGGGAAACACACAGGTTTTGATTTGTAATTGTTATGTAGTGGTATTCCTCGCTTCTGCATATAATGCGAGGGCAGCGTTTTGGATGCTGCAGAAAACGAAAAAGTGGATATGATTCCTCACAGGAAAGGCATAAAGATGGAACTGCCTAAAAGTATGAATCCCACGATAAATGTAGCCTGTCAGTGGGTAGTTATACGGTGATGTCTGCCCCGCCACCCATTCATTTAGTAAATCCTCTTCAAGCACTGTAAGTAAATATCCCCTCCATTCTTTCGCAACAAACTAATTCATCCGTATTCCCACTATTAGCAACATAAAGGTAAATAAGTAAATGCGTAATTTCAAAAGATATTTCATTAACATGATTGATCACTGGTATAAGAGCATCAATTTTGAGTGGAATGTGTTTTCTTTCCCTTTTTAAATCACAGTGTAATCTCGTTTCGGCTTTTTATTTATCGCTGGAGCAATAACTGATACATACAACAAATGCAATTGGACTTAAGTAATGCCTACTTTGGATCTCCTGCATGGCAACTGAACAAGGTAGCCTAGGACTATCAAATCGTTATCGCATTTATAAAGAACTATAGTGGCATTAGATATATATAGTACACAGTGCAGAGCGTCAACCTTGTACTAAAATTATTATCCAATTCCTACTTCGAAAATACGACAGTGAAATTGACTGGCATAGAAGGATCCAGTATCTCTGCTACCCATAGCTTTTCCTCATTCTTTCTTAATTTGTTATTCGTTCCGATGCAATTTTGTTATATCCTTCATTTCATAACTTACTCTTGTGCCCTTTTAATCCCTGATACCGCATAACCCTAACCGAGTGTAATATGCGTCAAAATATCTTATCTTCAC